CATATGGGACCTCCCGACTGAGAGAGACTCTCCATTGGACCATAAGCTTTGTTGGTATGGTAAATGACAATTCTTATACATATACCTTCTTGGCCAGACAGCTGCAGTCATCATTCATACTGTCTTGTGCTATCTATTTGTAATCATACAATTTTTTTTTACTCTTATTAAAAATAAAAAGATAAAAAAATTAGTAGGGTCATTATTCTCTTTTTAGTATTAATAAGATAAAAAATCCATTGTATAAGAACTTCACTGGTAAAAGGCTAGTCACTGTTCCCCCCCCCCAAAAAAAAATAAAATAAAATTTGAGATCTCCAATAACATTGTGCTGTTTTTAATGTTGTTAAATTTTGTGTTAAATTTGTCGTTTATCTATAATTAAAATTTGATAACTCATTTTGTTTTCACATCTCTCAAGATGGCTCGCTACATATATCATTCATATTTGGCATTTGGTGAGAAAAACAAAAAAATTACATTACTAGATCAATATTGCTAAAATATAGCAATAATTAGTTATTTAGCTATTGAATTATTAGATATGCTCTAAATATAAAATGGAAGTATAATATAAAATGGAAAAAAAAATCATTAAACATTTTTAGTCATCCAATTTTGTACAAAAAAAATTAGGAGGGTAAAAAAAAACTATAAACTATATTTTTAAAAAATATTTGAGAAATCAAATAATTAAAGATTTTGAAAAGTAAAACATCTAAGTACAATTCTATATAATGATACGGAAGGATAAATAGGGTAAAATATACTTCCATCTCTTGAGGTTTGGATTTAATACATATCATTCTTGATATTTGAAAAATTACACTAACCCTCTTATATTGTAATTATTTAGACAGAATGAAAATATTGAACTCATGCACTTTTTTTTTTTTTTTTGCTTTACTTCCTCTGTTTTTTTTTTCTTCCTTTCCTTTGCTTTACGTTTTTTTTCAATATAATTTTCTTTATTTTCTATTAGGAATTGTTGCCTTTTATATAAGTAGGGGGTTTGTGAAATAAGACTATTAACCACACGAGTGAAAATGTAATTTTCAAAATATCAAAAGATGAGATGTAATTGAACCAAATCGCAGGGGTGTCAGTGTAATTTACTTGAATAAATAAAAATGCCATAACATAAGATAAGAGTCATATAAATGCAGGAATGGCAACGGGATAGGGCCGAGGACTACACTCCCCGTCCCCGATCCCCGAAAGTGAGAAATTCCATGTCCCCGTCCCCGATCCCCGACGGGAACCCCATCACCCCCCCCGCTCCCGCATCCACCTCCTCCTCCTCCTCTTCCTCTAATCGGGGATCAGGTATCCCCGTCACCGCAAATTCCCTGAATTACAGTATCTTTTTAAAAAAATAAATAAATTTAAACATCCTATTCAAACAAATAATCAATACATATTTTCAAATTAAAAAAGTTGTACATATTTTCAAATCTGTACATATTTTCAAATAATCTGTCAATAGCATAGCATAATCTGTCAACATAATGTGTCAAGCTAAACTCAATAGCAAATTAAAAAATCTGTACATATTTTCAAATAATCTATCAAGCTAAACTCAATAGCAAATTAAAAAATGTATACATATTTTCAAATAATCTGCAATAACATAGCATAATCTGTCACCATAAACTCAATAGTAGGGGTGTTCAAATAACTGAACAATCCGTGAAACCGACCCTGCCTGTCTGACCCGAATGCGATACGGGCGGTTTCTACCAATAAGTCGGTTGGCTATGGATGTAAAATCCAAATTTTCTGTGAATTTCGGTCGAAGGTCGGGTATAATATAATTAAATCTGCTTAAACCGATCCGACCGAATTAGATATATATATTATTATTATTATTATGTTAGCTTTGTCTAGGGAGTTTAACCAAAAGCAGACACCTACCGTCTGTCTTTTGTCTTGAAAATTATACAAATTGTACACTTTTATTTTTCGAACATCTTTGTATATCTTCCCAAGATCTTTTACAAACTGCACACTTATCTCTTCCCAATCAAACTTATTTTTTCAAGATTTTTATATACATTTATCACAAATTTGACGCCTCTCTTTGACCCACAAACGTCGCATCTCATCACCTCTCTTTCTCTCTCCTCAATTCTGATGCCGTTTTTCCACTCTCTCTCTTTCTTTCTCTGTGTGAAAAACCACCATCTCTTTTCCTTTCTCATCTTCCTTATCCCCTCTCTCTCTCTCTCTCTCTCTCTCTCTCAATAGATCCATCCGTTTCTTACACTCCCTCATCCCTCGTTGCGATTTTATTTTTTTTCAGAAACAGATCCATTAATCTTACTCTTCCTCATCTTTATTTCTCTTTTCTCTTTACCCTCTTTCTATTGATGATGTGGCAGTGGTGGTGGATGAGCGCAAAATTAACGGTGGTGGCGATGATGAGCGATAGCCGTGGTGGTGGTTGCGGCTGCGATGAGCAATGACAGGGACAATGATCAACAATGGCGATCCCTCTCTCGTTTTTTCTTTATTTTCTCTCCTCAAGTCTCATTCTAATTGTAAGAAATATATGTATATGTTTATATAAGTGTTTTTTGTTTCATAATGAATGTATATGTGTGTTTAAGTTTGCTATTTTCAAATTTTAATTCCATTTTTCATAATATTTTTTCTACTTTTTTCGGATCTACGAAATCGACCGAACCGATTACCAAACCGATTTGTTTGGTTCGGTCGATTTCAAACCCTAGATCGGTAGATGATGGGTGACTGATTCTCTAACCCGAAGGTATCGGTTCGACTGCTGGGTCAAGGACAAACCCGAGCTGCACTGACCCATGAACACCCCTACTAAGCATGATATGTTGTTTTATAAACCATGTGTTCTTATTCCGGTTATTAATCTATCTTTACTATGTGATGCGCACAACATACAAGTATAGATTAGATATATATATATATTATTATTATGTTAGCTTTGTCTAGGGAGTTTAACCAAAAGCAGACACCTACTGTCTGTCTTTTGTCTTGAAAATTATACAAATTGTACACTTTTATTTTTCGAACATCTTTGTATATCTTCCCAAGATCTTTTACAAACTGCACACTTATCTCTTCCCAATCAAACTTATTTTTTCAAGATTTTTATATACATTTATCACAAATTTGACGCCTCTCTCTGACCCACAAACGTCGCATCTCATCACCTCTCTTTCTCTCTCCTCAATTCTGATGCCGTTTTTCCACTCTCTCTCTTTCTTTCTCTGTGTGAAAAACCACCATCTCTTTTCCTTTCTCATCTTCCTTATCCCCTCTCTCTCTCTCTCTCTCTCTCTCTCTCAATAGATCCATCCGTTTCTTACACTCCCTCATCCCTCGTTGCGATTTTATTTTTTTTCAGAAACAGATCCATTAATCTTACTCTTCCTCATCTTTATTTCTCTTTTCTCTTTACCCTCTTTCTATTGATGATGTGGCAGTGGTGGTGGATGAGCGCAAAATTAACGGTGGTGGCGATGATGAGCGATAGCCGTGGTGGTGGTTGCGGCTGCGATGAGCAATGACAGGGACAATGATCAACAATGGCGATCCCTCTCTCGTTTTTTCTTTATTTTCTCTCCTCAAGTCTCATTCTAATTGTAAGAAATATATGTATATGTTTATATAAGTGTTTTTTGTTTCATAATGAATGTATATGTGTGTTTAAGTTTGCTATTTTCAAATTTTAATTCCATTTTTCATAATATTTTTTCTACTCCTTTCGGATCTACGAAATTGACTGAACCGATTGCCAAACCGATTTGTTTGGTTCGGTCGATTTCGAACCCTAGATTGGTCGATGATGGGTGACTAATTCTCTAACCCGATGGTATCGGTTCGGCTGTTGGGTCAAGGACAAACCTGAGCCGAACTGACCCGTGAACACCCCTACGCAATAACAACATAACCTGTCAATAACAACATAATTTGTCAAGCTAAACTCAATAGCATAATCTGTTAACATATTTTCAACATATTCTGTCAACATTTTTTCAACATATTCAAATAGTGGCTACCCAAATTCAACAAGTTGACAGTTTCCATCCAGCAGCCATAATCTGTCAACTAAAATGACATATTCCATCCAGCAGCACATAGAAAGGAAAATTCAACAAGTTACAAACATAATAATTAGTCTCAAGCACAGCCTGCATGAGATAGGCTACCTAAAAAATAAAATTTAAAAAAAACAAAAACAAATCCATTACAATATAAAAAACCCAATCCATCATGAAAAAAAAAAAAAAAACAAGATTGTTTGTCCAATACTCATACAACCACATTACAACTTTCATCATCTTTTTTAACTTGAATTCTTGTTAAATAACAAAAAGGGAAAAAAAAAATCAATATTAATAATAAGATGTAAAAAATGTTAACAATTAAAACAAAAAAGATGAACACTAACAACAAAAGTGGTACACGACTCATGCGAGCCGATCTCATCATCATCATATATAGTCACTGATTCCAATGTTGAATTTTCTAAAAAATAAAGAATATAAATTCAATATTGAAATTATTTCATGGCAATATAAAAGTGAAATAATAATATGTAGATTGGATGAAATAATAATATGAGTACCTTTTATCTTTGCACCCCACAACCAACTTTGTGCGCACATTAATGCTTCTAATGTGTTTGGATGAAGTCTACTACGATATGGACTCACCAACCTTCCACTAGTACTAAATGCTGACTCTGAAGCAACAGTGGATACAACAATAGTTAAAATATCTCTAGCTATTGCCTGTAAAGTTGGATACTTTGGTCCATTGGCTTTCCACCAATTCAAAACATCAAAACCTAAAGTTCTTGGCAAAACATCATCTTCTAGATAATGGTCTAACTCTGATCTTACATTCTTCATTTTTTTACTTCTATTCCTACTAATAAACAAATCATACTCTGAAAGGGTCTTTGTAACAATTTCTGGTTGAGTAGAAGAGTCACCCACAACATCGGTCTCCTTACCAACTCAGTGCTGATACTCTTGCAACAAATCATAACAAATCTGACGAACCTTATCAACTTCATCTTCAGTTTTGTCTCCATAAAGTTTTCTAAAATAAAACTCCAATACACTAATCTTATACCTAGGATCAAGTACAACATCAATTCCAATAACACCATGTATCAATAACCAATATTTATCAAATTTTTCCATCATTTTTGATGCCATTGTTCTAATCACTTCAATTTCACAAGAGAGTTGGGAAACAAACATTGGCAGTGGGATACTTAGTACCAGAAAATAACTCTGTGATAGAAAAAAATATCTTAAACCTCCCACTAATCTCTCTAGCAAACTCCCATTCTTTCTCACTTAGCACGGTCTTATATTGGGGCTCTCTATTTTTCAACCGAGAAAAGACATCCTTATACAATAAGGCAGTCTGAAGCATCAAGTAGGTTGAATTCCACCTAGTTGCACAATCAAGTCCTAATTTCTTAGTATGTGGATTACGCAATTGATTGACTGTTTCTTCAAATTTTTTTTGTCTTTTTGGTGTTGCTGTCCAATAAGCTACACTCTCTCGAATTTTCTCTACACCCACTCGTATGACATCCAGTCCATCTTTCACAATCAAATTCAAAATATGCGTACAACAACGCATATGAAACAAACTACCACCCAACAAAAGTGATGTATTACTCAACTTATCCATCGACATGGTCATCATGACATCATTTGTGGAGCAATTATCAACAGTAACAGTAGAGATTTTTCTATCAATATTCCAATCCATCATACATGCAAGCAAAGTATCACAAAGAACTTCTTTTGTGTGTGGACATGGAATATAAATAAACCTAAAATATAATATTCATGAACAAGTATTAATAATATGCAAATTGAACTGAATAAGATATAACTTTTAAAAGATTTGCAAATTTACAAACTCATTGCAAATTTACCTCAAAATGCGACTTTGCAATGTCTATGAATCATCAATAAAGTGTGCGGTGACAACCATGAATCCTTTCTTTTGATTGCTAGCAGTCCACATATCAGTTGTGATTGTCACCCTACTTTTAATATGCTCCACCAAACTCAATGTCTTCACCCTCTCATAATCATAAATTTTTAAAATATCACTCTTTATCGTATTTCGAGAAGGTACTTTAAATAATGGTTGAAGTACTGCTGAATATCATATATAACCAACATGATCTACGATGGAGAGGGGATATTCAAGCAATATTATGGCATGTGACAACTCTTTCCTAGCAAAATCTTGATAAAAAATATAAGAATTTATTTTTGGACTTTCTCTATTAAAGTTGTTAGTTAAAACTTTTTGCCTCATGTCCAACAATTTTTTCCTAGTACAACTCTTAAAGTGATCATGCAAATGCCTAGTTCCATTTTTTGAATCACCTCCAAGATGCTTATTACAATAATTACATATTGCCTTCCCCACTCCATTGACTTGTTGTTTCTTAAAGTGTTCCTACACAACACTACTTTTCCTTTTAGTTCCTCCACAAGTATTAGACTCTTCTTCTAAGTCAATAACATTTTGATTAGAGAGGGGAGACGGTGAGTTGGTAGCTGGCAATGATTGTTGTGATGCCTCGCTCTCAAATGGTACTTGAGGTTGAGAGTTAATTGGTACTTGAGAGTTAACTTCTGACATTTTTAACCTTTACAAAAATAACATGAAATGAATAAATAAAGGCAACCCATTATAATGTAAACACTAATCACATCCAAATATCCTAATGGAATATCACGAGAGGAGGATCCAACCCCAATCTCACCCAATTTGTGCAAATAAAAAGTAGTGATCAGGTGTATAAGAATTATAATCTTTCAGTACTTCGAATTGCCAAGACAACCATTAGGTAATGGCAGTTTACTTAAAATGATCCTTTGACAGTCTATCTAGCCATCAACCTCATAATAATACCCCACATCCAATGAACAAAGCTTTAGAAGTTCACAATGAAGACCATATAATACAACAATCAAAGTGACATTCTTTAAAATAAATCAGATTATTTTTAAACATAGATCAGATAACTTTTAAAACAACAATCAAAACACCAATTCCCAAACACAGATCAGATTATTTTTAAAACAACAATCAGAACAACAGTCAGCACACAATCAGAACACCAATTCTCAATTAGAACAACAATAAGACCATATAATACAACAATTAGAGTGACATTCTTTAAAATAAATCAGATTATTTTTAAACACAGATAATATAATTTTTAAAACAACAATTAGAACACCAATTCCCAAACACAAATCAGATTATTTTTAAAACAACAATCAGAACACAAATTCCCAATCAGAACAACAATCAGACCATATAATACAAGAATCAGAGTGACATTCTTTAAAATAAACAGATCAATAATTAATAAAAAATAAACACAGTTCATATAAAATGAAAGATTATTTTTATAAACAGATATGTAGATCAAAAAATAAACACAGTTTAAATAATAAACAGATATGAGAATGTAAACAAATATGCTTCATTTCTTTTTCTGTTTTCAAATTCATAATAAAATCTGCACTTTTTGACATATATATACATAATAAATAAATTTAGAGAAAAAAAACAGAGGTTGAAGAAACAGTAATGAAATCCCTAGATCGCAAATGTATACACTCAGATATATATATATATATATATATGTGTGTGTGTGTGTAAACCCTAGATTGAAATCCCTAGAGAGAGAGAGAGAGATACCTAAACAGAGAGAGCAGCGAGGGAGGAGCGGCGGTGAGGGAGCAGAGAGAGCAACAGCCTCGTCGTGTAAGAGAGAGAGAGGCGAAACCCTAAACAACAGCGGTGGTGAGGGAGGATTGCCGGTGAGGGAGGAGCGGCGGTGAGAGAAAGAGAGAGGGGGAGACCAAACCTTAAACAACACAGCGGCGAGGGAGAGGAACAGTGTCGTGTGTGTGAGTGAGTGTGAGAGACTAAGTCGAGTGTGTCAAATCCTAAACAAACACATGCGTATATATACCCAGGGACATAATGGTAATTTCACCTCAAGGACTAAACAGGGCGGGGCCGAGTCCGGGGCTTGGACATGTATTCCCGTCCCTGGCTCGGATATCATCGGGGATTAAATTTTGAATACCATCCCCGGCCCGTCGGGCGTATTTTTTGAAAAATAACCGCTCAATTCGGGGTTGGGGGGTTGAGTCCCTGTCGGGTCGGGTTCAGATTGCCATTCTTATATAAATGGGACATTGCCTCACCCTACTTTTAATATGCTCCACCAAACTCAATGTCTTCACCCTCTCATAATCATAAATTTTTAAAATATCACTCTTTATCGTATTTCGAGAAGGTACTTTAAATAATGGTTGAAGTACTGCTGAATATCATATATAACCAACATGATCTACGACAATAAATTTTTTTTAATATTTTAAGCAATTTTTTTAATTTTTAGACACACCTAATATAAATACACTTAAAAAGTATAATATTTATAAAAAAATCTTTAAAAAATATACTAAATATCAAAAAATATGAAAATTCAATACATTTTTTATTTTTTTTGTGTATTTATTAATTTTTTAAAATATTTTTTCACAAATATTTTACTATTTAGATACATTTAAATAAGATGCATATAAAATAATACAAAAATTATTTAAAATTTTAAAAATATTTATTAAAAATAAAAAAATATAAAAAATAAAAAATTCTCAATTTCTAGAAAAACTAAATTCAAAAAACGTAAACCAGAGACGTTCAAAACAAAGACACCGAAGAAGGGAGAGTCGTGCCTTTGTTGAGCACAACTCTCGAAGAGGCATCTCTGTCTTTTGTTTAAAAAAACCAAACCAAACCCAACCCAACCCAACCCAACCCATCTCTCTGTCTCTCATGTAAAAAGGAAGGAGAGCTGAAATTAGATCTCCCACACTCACACACACATCTCAGATCCCACTCTGCTGTAGTGACGAATGAAAGGCTAGTTTTTGGAACTACATACAATAAATGCTTCAAGATGGGGAGCTCTTCTTCTTCTTCTTCTTCTTCTTCCCTACCACTGAGTCCACTCCTTATTCTTCTTCCGTTCCTTGTTTGCTTCTCAGCTGCAACAGAAGCATCTTCTAGGCCTGGGTTTCTCTACACCAGAAACAGAGGAAGGTGTACCCCCCAGTAAGATCTCTCTCTCGTTCTCTCATCCTATTTCAACTTCAAATCCATGTATACTGCAGCAAATCTTCTTCTGGGTCTCTACCATTTTCTTGTAACCCAGAAAGGTTTTTTTAATTTTTTTAATTTATTATTTCTTCGGAAAACAGAGTAAAGGAAAGTACAGAGAGAAATTTGTCTCACATTACGATTCAAGCACTTGATGAACTTTTTTTTTTTTTGTTGACATTTTCTGAGCAAATCGTCCTAATTTGGAAACTGAAATTGTCAGAAAAGTGAGAAATCGAAACACCCATTTGTGTGTAGTGATAATTTGTCCCACGTTACGAATAATCTAATCTATTTATCTTTAGACATTTTTGAGCAAATTGTCCTGATTTCGAAACTGAAATTACCAGAAAAAGTGAGAAATCGAAAAACCCATTTGTTTGGTGATGAAATTGAACAGGTTTTGGAGCAGCAGGAGAGAAGCATGGCCTAGGATGGTGCCAGAGGGATCGACGGTGTCGAAGGTGTTTGGGTCGAGAGCGTTCGAGCGGTACAGATACGATCTCACTCTGTTGGAGGCCACGACGAGAAACGACGACGTTGAGAACGTGTTCGCGAGTCTTGTGAAGGAATCGAGTGCTGCTCTGCTCAACTCGTATGCCAGAAAGGGCTTTCCTTACTCGGCATGGGAGGTCAAGACTCTGCTCATTCAAGCTTTGGTCTCTGAAAAAGCTGCTGCTATTCAATCCCAGCGTTTCTCTTTGGCCAATCAGGCTTGTGATTAGCCATGAAAATGTTGTACTTGGCCTTTTTTTTGTGTGTTTGCTGGCCTAGAAAATGACATATCACAACTTTGTTATAGGGGTTTTCTAGTGTTGGTGATTTTGGTATGTTGGTTTGGTAACTATGGATGTTCTAATTGTGATGCTATCAAGTTCAAGATTAACCGAATCATGTTTTACACTATGAATCATTAATTTGAAGGTTGAACAAGTTAGAGTTCACTTTTGGTATTCAGCCCAATGTCTTTCAAATCTTGTGCTATCATTGTCATAGAGATTTTTTTTTTTTTTTTTTGGTTGTTGTTGTTGTTGTTCTTGGAGCAATGCCACGTGTGTTCCAACGTGATAGTCATTGTGGGCTATTTTAAGAAGGTAGTTATAATTAGTTTTTTGGTTAAAAGTTAATTATAATTAATTTTTTGCGAGAGAGAAATAAGTCATAATCTGAGAAATGAATTATAATTCACTTTCCAAAACACTCTTGTGCTGAAGTAATAATGGCAAACCCAGGAGTGGAACAGGAGGAGCACTAGTGACCCTAGAAACCCCCATAATCTGTTAGAGCTCTGGTCATTGCAAATATGATCGGGGTGAGCTGTGTGAGGAATTAGCCCCTAACTTCTTGTTTGTTGCTTTTCTGTTTGTTTAACTTTCATTTGAATAAAAAAAATAAATAAATAGTGTATAGTAATATTCAAGGCCACCAAATAATCATTCATTAGCATGGGTTTTTCAATTGTGAAGCAACTGCTCATCTTAAAGGAAAATCAACCTCAAATACAAAAATTACAGCGAAATTTTATTAGAATGTTATGGTAATTATTTTATTGAAAATATAATTCACGCTGTTGAACTTTTATTTTCAAAGTGATAGATTCAATACGGTCATACAATTCAGCATATATTTTTGTATTGGTGCCTAATCGATAATAATTGATAGATAGATCTAAACTAATTTTTTGAATAAACAAAAAAAGATCAGATTTTGTGGTTGAGTTTTATATCTTAAACAGATTAAGAACTTTCTTGGAGGCAAATGAATAAAAGAAAACAAAGCCGAACAAAATAGAATATGTATTTATTTAATTAAATTGTCACTTGTTACTAGTTACAAGAATTTAAACAAGAATAAAGAAATGAAAAAAATACAGCAATTGATCGAGAGAACAAAAATGGGTTGGAAAACTACTATCGCTTCTACTCCTAAAATAACTAAAATGGGTTGGAAAACTACTATCGCTTCTACTCTTAAAATAACTAACTTAAACTACTCCTAAATAATTCTACACGATTTATGAGTGATCATGGATGATTAATTGATGCCTTCTTCATTCCTCAAGTCTCCCTTTTGTATTTGCTTGGCCATCTCATGTTATAGCCATCAATCCATGATTTTTCTTGATCTTTGCTCCATTCAACCATATCCCATTTTCATAGGAACTACTTGTAGATTTTGTATTTGGACTTGGTATTAATACTCCGATTTTAGCATATGGTTTCTACTTAATTTTAATAGATATTGTAACGGCTCCCAAAATACGCGTCACAATTATCTTTATTTAATTATGCATTGCTATGAATTAATTTGAGACTATTTGTTTGAATTGGAACAATATCTGTTGGGACTACGACTTTGGAACTGAAATTGACGACCTTAATGGGTTCAAAAACCGAAATTGAGTACATGGATATGTTAATGGAAATTTTTAGAGCCATTTGGAAAGTTTAATTAAAAATTGATTTCATCTGATTCGCTAAGTAATGTTTGGCTCTCACTACTTGATTAAGTTTAGAAATATATATATATATATATATATATATATGAGATATGAGCTCATTTGAGTCAACAAAAAGAAGAAGAAAAATCTAGAGAAAGAGTGAAAGAGAGAAAGTTATAGAGAAAGAGGGAAACCAAGAGGAATGTGTAGAATTTGAAGGAGAAGCTCAAGATCAAGCTTGTATTCAACAAGATTATGCAAAATTAAGTAACTATAACGGCCCTAGGTAAGAATCTAACCCCAAATTCTTGAAGATTACGTGTTATGGAGTTGAATTTATGAATTATGTGTGAGTTTTGCATATATTTTGCTATATAATGTTAGGAACATGTTGTATCCTCATGCATGGCATAGATTCACGGAAATCATGTTCATAAACTTGTTTTTCTTGCATGATTCTTGAGATTTGAAAAGTAAACTCCATGAATTTCAAGGATGAGATTTGTATTTCAACTCAAGCGTTTGAATGTTTTGTACGAAATTTAAGCTCTATTTTGAAGTTATGATTTTGTTTAAACTAGTTATGTTGTATTGGAAATGAAGTTTGATTTTGGAAAGAATGAGGTTCCATTCACTAGCAGAATTTCAGACTGAAATTGTATCTAGACTGCTCGAGCGGCCAATCCTTTTTTGGCCAAAATTGTATTCTGAAGTTCGCCTGCCCGTGCAGCCAAGGCCACCGCACGAGCGGCCAGGCCGCCGCACGTGCAGCCAAACAGGGCAGATTTTCCAATTTTGTTTTCTTTCCATTTTCTGAGCCTTCATTTACATGGTTTTCAAGTGTAATTTACATCCGTAAGCATCTCATAGGCATGAAAGAAATTAAAAGAAGAATAGAAGTAACTGAACAAACGAATAACGGATAATCGAATAAAGTTAAGAATCAACTGAATGACTCGAATGTGTATTGAGAAATTATGCTATGATGTTTGTGTGTGTAAGTCAAGACTCAAAGACCGACCGGTTTTGAAAGCCCACTGTAAGTAACATTTCTGTAAAGATATGTTGATATGAATTATATTTTAACTATTACCGATAAGTTATAATTTCGAAAATGCTATTTTGATTATGTGAACGAATGTCCAGTTTGCGAATCTGTTATGACATCCATAGGTAGTCCCAAGTCATGGGGAACGGCATGTAAATGCGGGTCTATGACATATATGTGATACGAGATCTCGTTAGTCACTTCATTGTGGTGATATGTGTTTAATCAATATCCGGAACCGATTACTCTAGTCGGAAGACGATATGTGATATGTTCTGTGTGATGTACCATTATATTATGTTCTGATATGAGACTCATATAAATGATTGTGTCATGATTTGTTTTACGGATATGATATATTTGGAATTCATTCACTAACCTCTTTACTTTAATATTATTCACTGGGTTTTAGGTCACTGTTTTTATAAAACTCTGCATAGGTGAGCGTTCCGGAGGACAAGCCTAGAAGGGTCTTTAGCCGAGCCACCGTTTTGAAGCCTACCAAGTTATTTTGAGTGCCTTTGAGTTGGGGCCAAGCCTGGAAGGCCGTTGTTAAGCTTTTGATCATGGTGTACACTTTCGACACGTGTATATGTCTTGTATACTATATTATATTATAAGTTATGTATTGTTTTGTGGGTAAATTAACGTTTATATGTGTACATGTTTGTTCATATAGATGCACAGCTCATTGGACCATTAGTATTTTTGTATATTACTTTTGCTAGCCCCGATTATTTTTGATTGTATAGAAAGGCCTTTGGTAATCTCGAATTACTGGCCGATTACCAAACTTTTAGGAGCGGGTTTGGGTTGTGACAAATATCTTTATTGGCTTTTATTTAATCTTTTCAAGCTACACCATTACCTCTTCCATGCCACATTACAATACTTGTCATGCCATGTCAGCATATTTGTCAATAGAAATAATAATAATAAAAAATATGGTCAAAGTTATTTTAAAAAATAGTTTATGGTCTTAATCAACAGATCATAATCAAACTTGACCATAATCAACAAGTCATAATCGATAAAAAGATAAAATGTGGTGTCAATAATGCCCCCATATTTAAATGGATTGAAGAATGAAATCTAATTAAATGCTTTATAAGACGATTTACCACAATCAACAGAAAATATTTTATGGTTCAAACAATACCCCCACCTGATTTACATCACCAGTATTTTCTAAGGCTTTACATTACCTATAAATGGTGTAGTTTGAGCCCTTTTGTATTTTCTGAAGCAAGGCATATGTTTACACTTCTAACATTTAGCACTATTTCAAATTTTGAAACAAAAATAATTAATTGGCTTATGTCGATGCAAAGTATAACCAATTAGCCATCGGCTATTAAATTGGCATTTGTCGGCACTAAACAATTAACCATTAAATTGGCTGTTATGCAAAGTATAACCAATTGGCCATTGGCCATTGGCCATTATGGGTTTGGCCAAGTATTGGCTATTATATGGTTATTTTTTATTCCATCAAACTTATAAGTATAAGAAGTTAACCAGTTTATCAAAATTAACTTTTGATATGAACCACAAACCCTTGGTGATAGTTGGGTAGCAGAAACCATAATATCAAATGGTTTTAAAAAAACAAAACTTTTGACAAATTTAACAATGTCAAAAAATTCAAATGGTTTTAGAAAAACAAAACTTTTGACAAATTTAACAATGTCAAAAAATTCAAATTCAACAAATGTGGGTTGTTAATAATTTTCAGCCATATTTAGCTTAAATCACGCCGTCCATGTTCATAATTTTCAGCCATCTTTGGCTTAAAATTATGCCCCCAAAGTGAATCTTCATTATTATTTTGTGATGAATTTTTAATATTTTTTTAGAGAAGGGGTTGTTCTTCTTTTTAACCATTAATGGCTTGTCACTTTTTGTCACGTTTGGAAAAATATCATGCCCCCTATCTTCATAAGTTTCAGCTATCTTTGACTTAAAATCATGCCCTCCAAGTAAACCTTTATCATCAAAATTCTCAATATTAGGGGGTTGTTTTTTAATTTTAGCCATTAATGGCCTATAAAAATTCTCCAAAGTCATATTATCTTCATGACTTGGTGTGCTAACCCTTCGAGCCACATACCTGGGCTCTTCATGAATGATTGACTCTTCAAAAATATGTGTATTAACCCTATGAGCCACATTATTTTAATAGCTTAATTTTTCATTGGCCATTATGCTTTCTAATTTTTGCTTCCAATATAAAATTTCTTCATCAATTAGAAAAATTTAGCTTTTAAGCTGATGAATTTTTCCATCACAGTAATTCAAATATCTTTGCGTTAAATAATACAAAGATGATGAAATTATTTGAAATATTTGCCTATAAAGAGAACTAATTTGTTCTTTTAGGGTTAAAATTTCACTCCCGTACCAATAAATTTCATCATCACAATGCCAAATTATTCTTTTCACATCATTTGTCATGC